AAAGTAGTAAATGTTACAGCAAAAGTTGGAGCTCCAAGAAGATGGATGCTGCTGGGGGGATTGGAGGAGTAAGAGGTTCCTGCATCCAAAACTGCTAGAATTTAGTGTTAATGCAGTATCTGCTAATAGTCACCAGAGGGCACCAAACCCTAAATATTTATTAGATTGGAACTAAGACGCACACAATGCATTATGAGATATCATTAAGATAAACAGATCGTATTATTAAACCATAGGGGTCATCCATACCACAATGTTGCAGTATAGTAATGCTACCTTGCAAAAATATATCACAAATAAGTTTTCAGCAGTTTAATCATCTTATTCTTGTACAAGTGCAACTGGTTTTCTTTGGATGAGCTAACAATTGCACTAATTCTTTATGATGCTAAGGAGCAAAATAAACCAAAACAAACCCTAAAAGAGAATGGAGTCATAGTCAAACATAGGAATTATATTAACAATGGTCTTGGACTGGATGGAGGCTGTGAAGCAGTGGCGTACACACAATCCATGGGGCCCCGGTGCAAAACTGATCAGTGCCCCCCCCCACCTCCCGACAGACACACACACACACACACATACAGACATACACACACACAGTCACATACAGACAGACAGATACATACAGACACATACAGACAGGCACACAAACATACATACAGACCGACACACACAGACAAATACATACATACATACAGACCGACACAGGCACACACACACACATACAGACAGACACAAGACACACATACATACAAAGACACATACATACAAACAGACAGGCACACACACACACATACATACAGACACACACACAGACACATACATACATACAAAGACACATACATAAGACACACATACATACAAATACACATACACACACACATACAGACACACACAACACATACATACAAAGACACATACACACATACATACAGACATACACACAAATACACATACACACATACATACAGACACACACACACAACACATACATACAAAGACACTTACATACAGACACACACACAACACATACATATATACAGCCAGAAAGACACAAACACACACACACACACACACACACACAAGACATACATACAAAGACACACACATACATACATACATACATACACACATACAGACACACAAGACACACATACATACAAAGACACATAACACATACACACAGATGCACACAAGACACACATACAAAGACACATACACACATACATACAGACAGACACACACACACACAAGACATACATACAAAGACATACACACACACAAAAACTATTTTAGTCACCCTCCTACCTTTTAGGTGCAGGAGGGTGACATTCCCTGGGGTCCAGTGGTGGTTCAGGTTGATGGGAGTCAGAGTTTCCACTCTGACTCCCTCCTCCTTCCTCCCACGTGGATCTCAGTGTTAGCTGGGAGGAGTGACGTGCGGTCACTTCCTCCCAGCTTGGTGTGATATCATCACAGGGGGCCCGGTCGTGCTGTTAAAGCACCCAGCACTGACCGTGCCCCCTTACAATCCATATCCATCGGGTGGCTCTGACAACATGGGCCACTCGATGGACCCCTTGGACAGCGGCCACGGCCGGGGCCGCAAATGATGATGGCGGGTAACCGGTCGCAGGGGTCCGCAGGGCAGCCGGGCCCCCTGGAGTGACGGGGCTGGTCGCAGCTGCGACCGCGGTATGTACGCCGCTGCTGTGAAGATAGCGTTGTAGACATATATAAAGTAAAAGAGAAAATTGCAAATCAATGATTCCAGAAGTCTATAACTCCTATAGAAGTATTAACACTAGAGGCACACCAGAGACTTAGGAGACAGTTAATTAACGAAGCAGGTAAGTAGGCCGCACCACGTTACAATGTCTATCTGGATATGTTAATCACAATCTTTGGAAGTCCTAGCTGAACCTGACCCATATGATATTATAAATATAGTCCCCACGAAGGAACCTTCACGTCACTTAAAATAAATTGTCACATTAATAAAATAAAGAGGGAAAGGAGAGCATGGGAAATAACATTCACTCATATTGTCCAGATGGCTACTGCGTATATAGCCCTACAAGTCACTAGAGCTCTAGCACAGGACACGCATGAATCTTCAGGAACGCCTTGTCCAAATTGTGTAATACAGCTAACATCTTCATCAAGACGGAAACTGAATAGCTCAGCTCCTTCCTTAATACTAAACTAATACTCTGCTCTGAAATAATGAGATCTATGGTAACGTTTTGGAGAGAAAATGTTATTTAAAATAACATCAAGTAGACGCAGTACTACTAGCACTGTACATGTCAAATGTTCCAGTTCACAAGCAGGGAACTGCATTTTGCAACATAAGGAAATTCGGGTTGGCACTTTGGTTTAATTGGATGTTTTGTAAATGGCTAGATTACTACATGTAGATATTAATTTGGCTAATTTTAACAGCAAATTAGATATAGCCTAAAATTTAAATTGCGCTCCATAGACCTCAATGCTGTTCTCCATAGATCTTAATGCTGTCCTCCATAGACCTCAATGCTGTCCTCCACAGACCTCAATGCTGTGCACATAGACCTCAATGCTGTCCTCCATAGACCTCAATGCTGTCCTCCATAGACATCAATGCTGTGCTCCATAGACCTCAATGCTGTCCCCCATAAACCTCAATGCGGTCCTCCACTAGTGATGAACCGAACGGTTCGCCAGCGAACAGTTCCCGGCGAACATAGCGCGTTCGCGTCCACCGCGGACGGCTAACACATACACGGTTCGATCCGCCCCCTATTCGTCATCATTGAGTAAACTTTGACCCTGTACCTCACAGTCAGCAGACACATTCCAGCCAATTAGCAGCACACCCTCCCTAGCAGACCCTCCCACCTACTGGACAGCATCTATTTTAGATTCATTCTCAAGCTGCATGCTTAGTGAGAGGAGGGAAAGTGTAGCTGCTGTTGATTAGATAGGGAAATGCATAGCTAGGTTAGGGTATACAGTGTCCACTACAGTCCTGAAGGACTCATCTGATCTCAGCTGTAAGGACAGCACCCCAAAAAGCCCTTTTTAGGGCTAGAACATCAGTCTGCTTTTTTTTTTTTTTCTGTGTAATGTAATTGCAGTTAGTTGTCTGCCACTGCTGCCAGCTTCTGTGTCAGGCTCACAGTGGATACTGTGCCCATTTGCCCAGTCAGTGCCACCACTCATATCTGGTGTCACAATAGCTTGCATTTAAAAACAAAAAACTTTTCACTGTTATAGATTGAATAGCAGTCAGTGTCCTTAAAGCGGGTGTGTTACGCTAACAATGGATACGGTGACCAGTGCCACCAATTAGATCTGGTGACACAATAGTTTGGATTTAAAAAAAAAATAATCTTTTTTCACTGTTATAGATTGAAATAGCAGTCAGTGTCCTTAAAGCGGGTGTGTTACGCTAACAGTGGATACGCTGAC